CAAATAGCGAAACCATCGACAGAGCATGTTTGTAAAACGCAGGATATTTATTCTTGTCCAAATACGTTTCATAGAACTCTTTCCAAATCAACTTGATGGAATTTCTCCAACGTTTTAGGGTTTACTTACTTATAGAATCGATTTGGTAGACAGGCTACTTGGTTAAAGTAGTTTGAACTGTAATTATAAATATGTTAAATATGTATTGTAACGTCGATTGCAAAATCTCTCCAGATGCATTGGCGATAATAAAACGAAACTACAGAATAACACGGAACTTTGTCAAGCTGCACTGAAAGTAGTTATGAGTATGAGCCCGATAGCATTGCGAGCTTCCCGAAAACGCCGAAGACCACAGAACATATATAGCTGAAGTTGAAGTCTCATATTAAATTTTATCAACACCTAGCGTCGGACAAAAAACTAAGTAACCTCGAGTGTCAAATAGCGGGATATTTGAAATAGCTAAAAATCTATGAATTTTTTTCAAAAATGAGAGATATTTCAAATTTGTCTTAGCTATAATTTAAAAATACATGATATGAATAACTCATGACGTAATGTTCTTTTGGTGATATGTACAATAAAGTTAACATTTACGTTCATTTGACCTAGCTCCGCGGGCCGCAACATGACTCCAGGCGGGCCGCATGCGGCCCGCGGGCCTCGTGTTGGCCACCCCTGATTTAGATCAAAATGCTTTCATACTATAAGAGAACAATAGACCAAGAACAGCTCTAATCTAGTCAACATGTGTCTGCTTTCACGGTAACAAATTTTCATGTGTCACCTTACCATTGAATACTTTTTTTTCTTATCTCATAAAATATGGTTGGGTTTAGAGATTCCAAGATTGGGCTATGAGTAGCAGATTGAGATACTTGTAGGGCTTTAAGGCCACTTACTACTTTTTGAATTACTTTAAAAATAATTTGGGCTACATTTTGAGGAATTCTGCTTTGCTTTTTATAGAACCTATCTGGCAATTTGTGATGTTCTCACCAGACACACGCTGTTTACCTGAAGTTTATTTACATTATTATTACAGTAATTATTAATTAATGAAAGTAGGTTTATGTATATATAGCTTTACTTCATTTGCTTAATAAATTACTCAGTTGGCATATTGTGCAGAAATATGTAAATTTCAAATGATTTGATACTTGATAATTTAAAGTTGCGATTATTTCCTTCCTTAAATTTTGAACTAATGAGGATTTCCTGTATTGGTCTCAAGATAGTTTCTATATTTAGCAGAAGTATAGTCTTTTTGAAACTTCTATCTTCATAGATACCTTGATTTTATCTGTTGTCAGATTTAAATTACAAGATCAAATTCCTGATAATCCAATTACATCTTAATAATTTTAAATCATCTGTATTTTGTGAACTTATTAAACATTTAAAGGATACTTTTTTGTGAACTGTGTTTACTGTGGTTTCTTTATATTATATGATGTAACATTATTTAAACTTTATAATTCTTTTGTTATTTATTAAATATGCTGAAATAGTTTACTAATTCCAAGTTATATATAATTGTTACCTATGTAATAAGAAATGTTATATTATATTGCAAATGTTTATTGCTTTTATGTTTTTATACTAGCTTTGTAAAGGCAAAAGCCACATCAAATAAATGATAATTTGATTTAATTGCAAAATTTTACATGCCTAAAATTAATTATTTTTAAAACTTTTTCTTTGATAGTCTCATGCTGATATAAAATTTAATTCTGATGAAAGATGCTATGTTATAACTGATTTGGGAAGTCAAAATGGAACATACTTAAATGAGTTCAGATTATCTGAGGTATATTTTTTAAATTTATTTGTATAGTTTTTATTAGACAGAATAATTATTGAATGCAATGAATAATATATGATAACATATTTATTTTTTTAAAAAAAGTTAATCATTTTTAGTATATTATTAGTATAGAAATTTAAATTATGTGATCTGTCCCAAAAGTTTCCAAACTGTCTTTGTATGGACTGTATTAGTGGCACTATCTATGCAAGTAATGTTGTACTAGCTTTGTCAAAGCATTGTTCATTAACTTTGTAAGTTTAATGAAGGACTCTTTTATGGTTACCTTACCACAGGATTAATGACAACAGTACCTTAGTGACACTTGTCAAGAAATAATGATGGAGCATTGAGCACCTTAAATTCTTTGTGAAGCTGGGCAAAATGTTCACAGAAATATTAGCATTGTTATGAGAGACTTATGGACACAAAGCGGTATTCTGTACATCAGTTTATGAGTGGTCCATGAAGTTTTGGGAAGGTAGAGAATCACTGAAAAATGACAGGCTTATTAGAGAGTTATCAGACAAATGGATGAAACCATGCAAAAGAGTAGTAAAGAATTTGTTCCAGTTGGACAGACTGTTAATGTAGATTATTACTTGGGCATTATGAAGTGTTTGCTGGCAAGAATTGGTTAGATTCTTTCTCATTACCAAATATAAGGCAGCTGGTTGCTTCTCCATGACAATGCTTTAGCTCACAAGTTCGTTTGTATGCACAAGTTTTTTTGCTTCAAAGTTGGTCCAAGTCCTTGATCATTCCCCATTTCACCAGATTTGACACAATTTTGGGCATCAAGAAGATATCAACTGAGGCTATTTAGGCCATCTGAAAGGACTACTTTCAGCAGAGTTCTCTAAAGCTGTATGATCATTGTAAATATATTTCTTTGAAAGGAATTTATTATGAATAATTTTGTAAATAAAAATTTGTGATTATTATCTTACAGAGTGGTTTTAATGAAAGTTTGGAAACTTTTGGATCAGACCTTCTATATCAGGTTTTAATATTATAATTAAAACATTATTTAAAGAACAAAATTCAATACTTGGAAATTATTCAATAAAACTAAATAATATAACAATATATACAAAATTTATTTTAATGAATTGAATGATTTAAATTTTTGAAGTCGAATAATTAACAATTGTGATGTATTCAATATTTAATCTGAAAATTTGGGATTACTCTGTATTATATTTTTTTGAATTATTGTCAGTTCATTAGCTTAAATGGCCTTCAGTTTACATTGTTATAAATTATATACTTTCATGGTAACATTGTTAATTATCAGAGAAATAATTATGTTTAATATAATTAAGTTGTAATATTCATATCAATAATAGTGTTTTTGAAATGGACATTACTTTTAATTACATTAAATATAATTTGGTATTGCAACTAGAAATAGCATTTTTAAATGCTAGTAATGCAACTAAATGGTAGTATTATTAAATTTTTCCACTACTAATTTAATTTATATACTTGTAATACTTTTCAATCTGTAATAATATTACTTAAAATGCAGATATACCTCAACTTATGATGTGTCTCCATTCTGATAGTCTTGTTATAAGTTCAACATATTATATGCAAACAAAAACAATTTCAGATGGTGAAAGAAAAGTCACATGATTGCTACAAACATATCAAACCATGAGACTTTTTTATGCCAATGTGACTATAAACAATAATCAATGTCAGTAATGACAAAAACAGACTCTGCATTACATTTCATAAAGCCATTTACTATAGCTGTTAAGAAGCATATTACAGATAATATAAAGTTATATGTACAGTTATATGGCTGGCAAGATAGTTGCTTTGTTTTATTTCATCAGTATGCATCTCGTATTCACCAATAAATCTATTACAAATCCTTTATGGAATGACTATCATAATTTTTGAATAGTCATATGTCAAGGGATCATAAGTTTAGGTATATCTGTATTTTCATTTACAAGATTCTTGGCTAGAATAAATTATACTTCAACCTCTATATTAATGTCTATTATAAATTTTTAAAATTTTATTTAGTATTATATAAATTTAATTTAAAAGTTTGTTTTAACTGAAATATAAAATCATTTTATCTTAATTTTTATTTCATTTTTCTGGAATACTTTGAACTTGAAAAACATTTACAATTTTACTTTTTGTAGTTTACCTACTCTAAAATAGAAGTAAAATAAAGAAGACATCAAGAGAATAATATTTAAATCATCCTGAAATTATAATTATACTGATTAATTATACTTAAAATATAAATTTATATCTTCTTTTAAAATATAATTTATTTAAAAATGAAATCGTTTTTAAATGAATGAAAGTAAATATCATTATTCATTTTATAAAATATATTTTTTGATTTATGCTTATAATTTCCTATATTACTTTTTATGGTGTTTGTTTTGTTTAATTTTTATTTGTTTTATTTTAATAATTTGTTGTTTAGTTTCTGTAATAATAAATTTATAGGAGAATTATGTTTGACCAATTTAATATATCATTTTGTTGTATCTTAACATGTTCAAGAATGCATTTCTGATATAAATTATGTAATTAATATTAATTAAAAATACGTTATTTTGTAGGCAAAACAAATTAGTCATTCTTATCCACTTAAACATGGAGATAACTTGAGAATTGGTAATTGCAAATTATTATTGCATATTCATGAAGGTACAGAAACATGTAATGATTGTGAACCAGGACAAGTGCAAGCAGAACTATTAACAAAACATCCAATGGGTGAATATATTTAAAGGCTAAATTTTATCTGTAAAAAAAGATTAAAATGTTAATTATAGATAATTTTCATTTCATTGTAAAAAAATTTTTTTAATTTATAAAATAACTCTTATCATTTTTTTACATCTTTCTTAACTGTATCTTTAATTTCAATTTCAGATTGTTTCATATATCTTTGCTGGGAAATGTGCAGTACTCTTTTAAGGCTCTGGAAGTTTTATAAAGTCTAAGAACTACCTTGTCACAGATTTGTCAAACATCTATTCTTTTCACTACATAAATAGACTGGTCTCTGCTACTATGCATTTTTACAGCCCAGCCAAGATTCTGAAACAAGCTGTAAATTAATATTTCCTCTTGCTAGATCTTTATTGCCTAATACTTAAAAGTTACTTAGAAGCTATTTAATTAAATATCTTATTATACATTTTAACTTGCAAGTATCCAATCCAGTAGTTCTTAACCTGAACATCTTTTTTGCATCTAGTATAAAAATTATTTGGATAGACTATGTATAAAGTAAATTTTGTTTTTCTTTAGTTTATTTGGACTTTTGGATTTTCACTGACTGTTAATTTGAACTATAAATCAATCATCAGCCTTTTGTTACAACTAGGCACAAGTTTATTTTCTGTCTGAATTAACAATTGAGTTGAAAAACTAGGAAGTCAATAATATCATGTCGGGGATATCTATAACAATTATTTGTCACTACTGTGCAGTGACATCACAGCTGGCATAAAAAAGAATAGTGTGCACTTATGCTAGTAATCTTGTACATTGTCAATGTGACCCCATTGTATCTCAAATGAAATTATGGACCCCTGATTTTTGTTACCTTTTTAATTTCCTTGTTTTATATTATGCAAAATTACATGGTAGCAGAGCATTAGAAAAGCCACATGGAAGAGTTTTTTCTAATGCTCTGCTTCAAATACCAGTTTTGGGTTCTTTTGAATTTTGAGACAAATCAAAACATTTTGAAATAAATTTGAGTTATAAAAGAAAACTAACAGTTCATAACAAACATAAAAATATTTTAAAAGTTCAAAATTTTATGAAAAGAACATGCCACTCAGAAGTATTGCATAATGTAATAAATTTATTATGAAATGCTGGAAAATCTTGGATCTTATATATAGACATAATAATACACATTGAAATCTAGTATATACAATACATTTTAAATGTTAGCTTTACAGGGGTTTAATATTAATGCAATAAAATGGTCATTATTTAGAAAGGATTTTTTTCTAGAATTACAACAAATTGTTTTCTACATTGTATTCAGTTAAACAAGTAACTAACAGTGGTGTTCCATAAACCAATTAATACAAGAATTAACATGAAAATTTTGAAATTTTATTATAATCCTTTACAAATGCATTTTAATTGTCATACTTGCAGTCATCTTGAAGAATGTGAATATTAATAATATACTGATGTCTATCTTTGTGAAATGTTTTTTACGAAATTTTTAATTTAACTTAAATATATAAGTTATCATTTATATTTGTANTTTAGTATATTATTAGTATAGAAATTTAAATTATGTGATCTGTCCCAAAAGTTTCCAAACTGTCTTTGTATGGACTGTATTAGTGGCACTATCTATGCAAGTAATGTTGTACTAGCTTTGTCAAAGCATTGTTCATTAACTTTGTAAGTTTAATGAAGGACTCTTTTATGGTTACCTTACCACAGGATTAATGACAACAGTACCTTAGTGACACTTGTCAAGAAATAATGATGGAGCATTGAGCACCTTAAATTCTTTGTGAAGCTGGGCAAAATGTTCACAGAAATATTAGCATTGTTATGAGAGACTTATGGACACAAAGCGGTATTCTGTACATCAGTTTATGAGTGGTCCATGAAGTTTTGGGAAGGTAGAGAATCACTGAAAAATGACAGGCTTATTAGAGAGTTATCAGACAAATGGATGAAACCATGCAAAAGAGTAGTAAAGAATTTGTTCCAGTTGGACAGACTGTTAATGTAGATTATTACTTGGGCATTATGAAGTGTTTGCTGGCAAGAATTGGTTAGATTCTTTCTCATTACCAAATATAAGGCAGCTGGTTGCTTCTCCATGACAATGCTTTAGCTCACAAGTTCGTTTGTATGCACAAGTTTTTTTGCTTCAAAGTTGGTCCAAGTCCTTGATCATTCCCCATTTCACCAGATTTGACACAATTTTGGGCATCAAGAAGATATCAACTGAGGCTATTTAGGCCATCTGAAAGGACTACTTTCAGCAGAGTTCTCTAAAGCTGTATGATCATTGTAAATATATTTCTTTGAAAGGAATTTATTATGAATAATTTTGTAAATAAAAATTTGTGATTATTATCTTACAGAGTGGTTTTAATGAAAGTTTGGAAACTTTTGGATCAGACCTTCTATATCAGGTTTTAATATTATAATTAAAACATTATTTTCAATTCAGGATATTTAATTTTATTCTGAAAATTGTGTATTTATAAATCTCAAACAAGTACAGTACAGTAATGGCCAAAAGTAGAGCTACCCTTGACATATTTTTTAAAAATGTGACCTCTATTTTGTTTACCACCAACTACATAATTAATATTGTGATAGTTGAAAAGAGCACAAAAAGAGTGAAAATACTCAATTAAATCAAACAGATTTTATTTTAAATCTGTTTACAAAAGAAAAAACAAAGTTTTTATATTTTACACTGTGACAAAAGTAGAGCTACCAAAGGAAGTATTGCAAATTAGTTTGCACTGTTGTACAAAACAGAATGCAATCATAGTTGGATGAAGAGTAATATATATTAACTGATTGTATAAGAAATATAACAAAATGCGTCGAGGAATACAATTATCAAATGATATCAAACAAAGAATGGTAGATATGTGTTTGAAGGGAAAAAAGACCTGTACTGAAATTGGTAAAATCTTTAATATGCATAGAACTGTTGTTGTGAAAGTGGTGAAGCATTTTCAAATATATGGGATCATTGTTTCTGTGAAAAAGTCAGATAGACTATGAAAACCAACACAGTTGGATCGTTTGACCAGGCGTACGAGTGCAGCCAATCCTTGTTTGGCTGCATCACATATTAAAAGTGAAGTGGGTAACCCAGATCTATCTGGGTAGAAGCTTAAAATTAAGGACTGTACGAAGACGTTTGACCAGTTTTGGATTACATGGGAGACGACCAGCAAAGAAACCACTCATCTCTTCAAAAACAAAAAGTTGAGATTAGAGTTTGTATATGAAGACATCACTTGGACCAAACAAAAATGGTTCAAGGTGTTATGGAGTGATGAATCTAAATTTAATGTATTTTTTAGTGATGGTATGTAATATGTCAGATGACCAGTGAACATGAGATATGACCAAAAATACACAGTTCCTACAATAAGGCATAGTGTTAGCTGCATAATGGTATGGGGATGTTTCTTTGCAAAGGAAATTGGTCCAATTCATAGAATTAATGAAATAATAGATCAAACCATTTATCGGGATATATTGCAGAATCAAATGTTTCCTCATGCACATTGTTCAAATGCCAAGGAGATGGATCTTCCAACAAGACAACAACTCAAAATACACAGCAAATTTGGTAAAGCAATGGTTTCAACAGAAAAAGGTGAATCTTATGACATGGCCAGCCCAATTTCCAGACCTAAACTCCATAGAGAATCTTTGGGATGTAGTTAAGCGTCGTATATGCCAGCGTACATATTCGAATCCAGATGAATTGTGGTCTGCCATCCAAAAAGCATGGTATGAGATTACCCACTCAGTGCTTGACAACTTAGTTGATTCAATGGAACATAGATGTGATGCAGTGATCAGAAGCTCCGGTTATGCCACAAAATACTAATGTTTTGTCCTAAAAATACAGGACAAATCTGCATACTTCCTTTGGTAGCTCTACTTTTGTCACAGTGTAAAATATAAAAACTTTGTTTTTTCTTTTGTAAATTAGATTTAAAATAAAATCTGTTTGATTCAATTGAGTATTTTGACTCTTTTTTGTGCTCTTTTCAACTATCACAATATTAATTATGTAGTTGGTGGTAAACAAAATAGAGGTTACATTTTTAAAAAATATGTCAAGGGTAGCTCTATTTTTGGTTACTACTATACATATTTTTACATATTATTTTTATCAAAGTTTTAATATTGTTTTATGGTGATTATAATAATTGAATAAATATAAATATGCTCATCTCAGAGGAAAAGTTTAAAAAAGTTTAGCACAGATTTGTTAATTATTTTATATTATCCTAGGCTTTATTATAAAAAAAAATGTTTTAATATCAAGTTATAAGATTACACTTTATCAGAAAATATTAAAATATACAGGAGGCTGTATAATTTTCCAAAATTTATAGAGGAGTCAATATAAATGTAATACATGTGAAACTTTTAACCTTTTCAATGAATATACAGGTAACCCCCATATAACACTGTAGTTACGTTCCAAAAAATTGCTGTGTTATGCGAATCAAAGAACTAGTACGAAAAGGAGGGTTAGGTTCCAAAAATTAAAAAACATGCTACTATATTTTCATAATTAAGTTAAATATCTTTATTAAAATTTTCTTAAGTGATACATATTAATATAAATTAAACAATGTTTTCTTTGTCATCACTAAAAGCACTATTAACCGAGAGCGTTTTATTTTTGGCAAGTTATCGTTATCCTCTGAGCATTTTTCTGCATTATTTTCAGATTCATGCTTTACCTTTTGCAAAAAGTGTATGTAATTTTAGATTGCTTGCTTCTAGTTAAAAGATCTTTATAAATTTCCTTATATGGTGCTAAGCACTTATGGAAGAAGGGAAAAACATCTGGCAACACCAGAAGCAGAAGCATGGAGATATGGCAAAATTGAAACAATTTTCGCAAAGGACCATGTGTATGGAGACGAGAAAAGAAAATTTACACACTGAAGTACTAATAGTTCACGAGAATAATAATTTTTGTGAACTATTAGTACTTAAGTATGTAAAAATTTATTACATTTTATGTTGTACGAGGGTTTTACCCATTTCTCGAACCGTGTTAGAGTGAATCTGTGCTATAGAAGTGCTGTGTTATACGGGGGTTACCTGTATAATCTATTTTCAGTTTAAAGATGAAAATATGTTATGGTTAATAATAATAATGAACAACACACCATTAAACTTACACTTACGTCATTTGGACACGATACAACGTATAAAAAGCATAGTCACCATTAAGCAATTGTGGGCTTGAAAGGCACTCCATGGCAGGCGTCCTTACGACCTGGCCCAGGATTTTGTTGACAAAACTGTGTCAAACAGCTGATTAGCTCAGGAATGCCTCTTTGGGGAGACAGAAGGATTCATGATTGCCATACAAGAACACATACTCAAAAATACAGAAAACACATACTCAAAGATACAACATTCACGAATGGCACATGCAGAAAATGTCACATCATGCCAGAAACTATACAACAAATCACTTCTAGTTGCAAGCTCTTGGCACAGACAAATTATTTATGCAGAAATAATCAAGTAGCAAATATAATACACCAAGAGCTTGCAAACAAATACAAATTTTTAGATATCCATGAACCATACTATAAATACATTCCACAGACAGTATTGGAAAATAACACACACAAAATGTACTGTGACAGAGCCATAATCACAGATAAAACAATTTATCACAACAGACCAGACATCACAGTTATTGACAAACACAATAAAATCACATACATTATAGACATAGCCATTTGAAACACTCACAATGTACAAAACACAAGCAGTGAAAAAATTAGCAAGTACACAGAACTCACCCAGGAAATAAGGCATCTGTGGACGATGAATAGAGTCCTTATGTGCTTATTATACCTCTACAGGTGTCATACCATACACACTACACAAAAACCTGGAAACGTTAAAATTGAATAGAAACACATATATGACACTACAGAAGGCCATTATATTGAATACATGCCATATTGTTAGGAAATTCCTGAATACAGACACTGACACAGTTATTTAATTTTAGTTTTGTTTTGGTTGCTATGCGTTGACTCTGTCATAGTAAACATGCCTGGCATAGTAAACAGCCACCAGTGTCAACCAAGTATAACCCACTAAACCCAACATAATAATAATAATAAATACATAATTACACAATACTAATTAATTTTTGTATATCGGAAAACATACTGATTTCAGATAAATTTAAAATCTATGTTGTTTTCTTACAAATTTATATTTAAACATTTTAGTTAAACTATTTTATAGTATCAAATATATTTTTGATATTAGTGAAAGCAATAAATAAATTATATTTAATATCCATTGTCATGCAATGATAATGATTTTACAAAAATCTATCATCCAGTATTAATTAAAATTAATATTAAGTGTATTTTAAA